TAGGAAGCCTAGCATCCTATATCAAAACCTTGGTTGAAAATGGCTTGGATTTGCTTTCAAAAATGTCAGCACATTAGCAGGTTAATCCCACCAAACAAGTTTCTGGCAAAATACACTGAATCATCCATATTTTAATGATTTGGACAATCGGATTGAGAAGATACAGCTTTCTGACAAAAAGTCTCCACATGCTGTCTCAAGAACAGATAGTTATATTTTTACTGCTACCTCTATTTTTGTCTTATGTGCTCTTTTCTATGTTGTAAAACTTAAGCTGCACTTCATCATCTAATTTCAAAAGTGTAACTTTAAAATGTAAATATTGTTCTATATCAATTTAAATATAGTAGTTCTGTGTATGAGTGTAGATTTCACTATAACAAGTATTTGTTACTATAATAAAACTATAAATCTAGTATTGATGACAGGAAGTGCAGGGAATAACTGAACTGCTTTCCCCTTAAGATCAAAAACAAGGCAAGAATATCTGCTCTCACCACCTTATTCAACATTATACTAAAAATCCTAGCCAGTTTAATCAGGCAGTCGAATAAATAAAAGACATGCAGATTTGAAAAGAAGTAAAACTGTCTTTGTCACAGATGACATGATTGCCTATGCAGAAAATCCTAAAATATCTGCAAAAGAGCTGATTTTAGTAAGGATACAGGATACAAGGCCTATATTAGAAAAAAAAAAGAATTTTTATATTCTAGAAACAAAGAATTAGAAATTGAAATAAAATAGATACCATTAATTTAAAAGAAACAATACTATATTAGTTCTCAACTGCTACATAACAAATTACCAAATTAGCAGCTTGAAACAACAAACATTTATTATCTCACATAGTTTCTGAGAATCGGGAATCTAGGGAGCAGTTTCAGGGGGTAGCATGGCTCAGCATCTCTCAGGAGGTTGCCATCAAGATGTCAGCTAGGGGTGTACTCATCTGAAGCTTTGACTGAGACTGGAGGATCTATTTCCAAGATTACTCATTCACATCTTGCTGGTAGAGGCCTCAGTTTCTCCTTTATGAAGGTCTCATTTCTTAACCACATTGGACCTTCCAGTAGACCTGCTCTCATGTCTTCCAGAGCAAGCAATACAAAAGAGCAAAGAAGGAACTGTAATGCCTTCGATTACCCAGTCTCAGAAGTGGCATTCCATCACTTCTGCCATATTCAATTGGTCACACAGATCAACCCCTGGTACAGTGGGGGGGGGGGGGATACTATACACAGTCATGAATACCAGGAGGGAAGGAGCATTTCAGGCCAATCTGGAGCCTGGCTACCACAAATACCACTTACAATAGCATCAAAAGACATAGAACACTTGTGGATAAATTTAACAAAATATGTGCTAAACCTCCACACTGAAATGACAAAATAATTACTGAAAAATCTAAAGAAGACCTAAATAAGTAAAGATATATACAATGTTTATGGATGGAAAGACTCAATATTAAGATGTCGATACCGCCCAACATATTGGGATTCAATGTAACCTCCACCACAAGGCCACTGGGTTTTTTTCTTAATAAAAATTGACAAACTGATAGTGAAATTTGTATGTAAATGTTAAGGACTTAAAATAGCCAAAACAACTTTGAAAAGAAGAACAAAGTTGGAGGACTTAGACTACCTCCTACACTACATCCTAAAATAGTGTAAGAACTACACTATTTTAAGATTTACCATAAAGCTACAATAATAAAGACAGTGTGCTATTAACATAGGGTAGACATATAGATCAATGGAACAGAACAAAGAGTCCGGAAATAGGCCACTCCTATAGGGTCAATTAATTTTTGACAAAAATGCCAAATAAATCCAATGGGAAAAAATTTTTAACAAATGTTGCTAGGACAATTGGATATCCCAGGAAGAAAATAACCTTGAACATTTGCCTTACACTATAAACCAAAATTACCTTAATATTGATCACTAGCCGAAATATAAATGCTAAACTATAAACTTCTAGAAGAAAACATAGGAGGAAAATGTTATGACCTTAGTATAGGCAAATAATTCTTAGACAATACAAAAAAAGCACTTATTCTGAGAGGTGAAAAAAATTGATAAATTGGACTATGTCAAAATTAAAACATCCTATTCTTTGAAAGATAGCATTAAAAGCAAACAAACAAAAAATAAAATACAAGCCATAAACAGAAAAAATATATATATGTAATACATATATCTGTCAAAAGGCTTCTATTTGGAATATATTTAAAACTCTTATAGCTCAATAGTAAAATATTAACTCAAAAATAGGCAAAAAAGGGGCACTTGGTTGGCTCAGTCAGTTAAGCATCCAACTCTTTTTTTTTAATTTTTTATTGTTATGTTAATCACCATACATTACATCATTAGTTCTTGATGTAGTGTTCCATGATTCATTGTTTGTGCATAACACCCAGTGCTCCACGCAGAATGTGCCCTCTTTAATACCCATCACCAGGCTAACCCAACCCCCCACCCTCTTCCCCTCTAGAACCCTCAGTTTGTTTTTCAGAGTCCATCATCTCTCATGGTTCGTCTCCCCCTCCGACTTACTCCCCTTCATTCTTCCCCTCCTGCTATCTTCTTCTTTTTCTTAACATATGTTGCATTATTTGTTTCAGAAGTACAGCTCTGTGATTCAAAAGTCTTGCACAATTCACAGCGCTCACCATAGCACATACCCTACCCAATGTCTATCACCCAGCCACCCCATCCCTCCCACCCCCCCC